TGGAGTTTAATGCGACCCTGGAGTAAGGGAGAAAGAAATGATCCCATAGCCCGGCAGCCTGATTTGGAGCAGGGATTCCAGTCCTCTGTGTGATTTCATGAAACTTTAACTTTCCCACTCCAAAAGGCTCTTTTTTTACAATTAAGTAAAGTCAACTAAATTTGATTTGAGAAATTTCAGTGAAGTTCATAATACCATGTCAGGTAAATAGGGACATGCTGGTAGCCTTAGAGATTTCCCCGAACAACCTCTGTTGAGATGGTGATCTCATTACAAATCCCAGGGGCAGGTTGCTGTTGACCTTGAAGCACACAGCCCGGCTTACCTATCCTGGGATGTTCAATGCAAACGCCCTAAGAATTTATCATCCTCTACCTCGGGATTTAGGACCTATATCACCCAGGAAAGAGCCTGGGATGAAAATTGAGAGGTGTGGTTCTTACCCTGACTATTCCACCACTTGGCATTGACTTCAGACAGATCCTGGATTTTTCTGGAATTCTGCCTACTCTGACATCCTTTAGTCTCCTAGACTGTTCCTGAGAATAGCAGGGATACTAAGTCAGGCCCAGTCCCAGGAGACATGATTGGCTTCTCTGGGTCAAGAATTCCTGATGGCCTTGCCAAGCCTTCCTTAGCCTGCAGCATGGTTAAGAATGGTTTCCAGGGGCTGGCTGGTTAGCTCACTTGGTTAGAGCATGGTATGGTCAGATTCAGATCCCAGTACAGACCAGCTGCCCCCAACCAAAAAGAAAAAAAAAAAAAAAGGCTTCCACCCAACCTTGCCTTCCTCTCTCCTCCACTGAAAGTCAAGCTTGCATCACGGTCTGACAGCTCTCCCAGCCTTCCCCAGCTCCCCTCCCATTTTCTCTCACAGATGTATTCCGTATAAAATCCTGCACTTTGAATCCCATCTTAGTTTCTGCTTCTCAGAGGGCCCAGACTAACACCCCATCCTGCCCACCTCTCAGGGGGCACAAAAAGATATACAAAAGCAGAAAACTTTAAACACACATAAAGGCCTGTTACCACAAATCCTTCTGGACTTCCCCTTAGCAAAAATTTGTAATGACTTTCCCTAGGAAAAAGAATGTTCTGCTGACTGAGCTGGGCAGCACCAGGCTGGTGAGGGGTCAGGGCAGCAAGGTGGACCTGGAGATGATCAGAGCATCCAGGGCTTCAAATACCAGGCCAAGGAGCCCAGACCTTGTCCTGTCTGCACTGGGAAGCAGAGAAGGCAGCTTCCAGCTCTTACTGAGCAAACATTTGCCAAGTGCTTGCTATGGGCCAGGATTGTGCAGTACAGCACTTGGATGGGGAGGATGCAGAGGTGTAGCCGACAGGATCCCAACCAGAGCAGGAAGCTCCCAGACTAATTCCTTGTGGCCCCAGGCTGTATCCTTAAGTCCTCAGGCACTCGCTCATCAAACATTCACTGTCTCCAGGTGGCCTCAGTGATCCCATCCTGGTATTCATGCCCTGTATAGTCATTGTGGGAAGGCCCACACTGAATAGGCTTGACATGTGTAACAAATAAGATAGAGAAATAACAGAGTGTGACCTTTGAGATTAGATCCAAAAGGACATTTGTGGCTCCTTGCTCTCTTGAATCACTCACCCTGCTGGAAGCCAACTACCATGTCATGAGGACACTCAAGGAACCTCATGGAGAGGCCCACATGGCAAGGCACTGAGGCCTCCCAATAACTGTGTCAATGACCCATCTTGAAGATAGATCCTCCAGCCCCAGTCCAGCTTTCACATGACTGCAGCTTCATGAGAGACTCTGAGCCAAAACAGCCCACTAAGCCACTCCCAAATTCCTGATCCTCTGAATCCATGATAATTTACCCCAAATCAATGCAACTGATGCCCACTCTACCCCCAGCACTGTCCCCACTGTTATCTACTCACCTAGACCAAAGCAACAGGTCTTCCCTGGTCTTGCCTCCTGTCTCAAGCCCCTTCAATTTTTCCTCCACATAGGATCCGGACCAAACTGAAGGTCCATTTATCAAGAAATGTTTATTGAAGATTATGGCTCTTTCCATGGCTCTCCATTAAGTATTTTGTGTTATTTCCAGGAGGTGTTTGCAAGTGAGCAGGAGTAGTGCAATGGTGGAGTTTATGGCATCCCTGAGTTGATTTGGGGGCAGAGTAGGGAGCAAGAAGAGTCCTTATTTTCCCCAGCCCCCTCGAATGACAATCCCAGGGCCACGGGAGGGGCACTCTCGTAGCTGGGGCTGAGACAAGCCTTTGTTCTGAAGTACACAATGGCAGGATGCCCAGCACAGACCAGCTTCCCTGGCTTCCTCTGAGGCAGGACAAGAGGGCAGGAGGCAGGAGCATGCCCCGGGTGCTCTCAGTGTGTGGAGGAAGGCTGAGGATGGATGAAGAAAGAAGCCTTGGGCAGGAACCAGGAAGCACCTGTGATGAGAGTCAGCTTGCTGGCACTGGTTGAGGACCTGCTACATTTCGGGCACTGTTGCTAAGCACTTCCCATGCATTAGCCCATTACAGCTTCCCAGAGCTGTATGGCATTAGGTTCTACTGCTGCCCCCACTTAATACACAGAGACACAGGAGGGGAAAGTCCCTGTCCAAGGTCAAACGGCTTGGACGTGCCTGAGCCAGGATTCGAGCCCGTGTCTGACTCCACAGCCCCTGTTCTTGACTTGAACTCTCTTCTGCCTACTCCATGCCAGACACTGTGCTGGTCAGGGCTGATGAGATAGCAGCGAGCCCTCCTGAGAACAGTCCAGTTTAGAAGAGAGACAATAATCCAGTTCCAGGGGTGGGATGTGATCAGGGACCTACCTGGAGAGGTGCAGGGAGCTGGGGTGACCTTTAGCTGTTGCAGATACAGGTTGGCACAGCATAGGGTGGGGGTGGGGTGAGGGAAGAGCTTTCACAAGAAGGCAACATCTGTTATCCTGAGGAGAAGGCTTCATAGCAGGCTCAGAGAGGTGAAGTGACTTGCCCGAGGCAGCAGAGCTAATGAGAGGCAGAGCCTAGAGGGACAATGACATTTCAATGGGACTCTCCCCGATCTGGGACCTGCTGAGCCCTCACCACTAGTTATCACTATGATCCTTACCCCCAACAATACTGATACTGTGAACACAAGAGAGACCAGCCTGGGATCACACTGTGAGTGGGAGAGGCCAGGACTCCAACCCAGGCTTTCTGACTCCCAGTCTAGTGCTCTCCATGGCCACTGCTGGGAGAAGAGATAGAGAAGGCTTTGGCTGTGGCCTTGGAGGAATTGCCTCAATGTCCAAAGGTCCTGAATCTGGTGACAAACCAGCTCAAAATAAACCAGGTCAAGTACAGCTCCAATAACCCCCTGTCCCCAAACCACCAGGGGTAGGCTTTGGTCTCACAGGAGGCTCACTCATTAGCCAAGCATCCCATGAAGCCCAGGAGCCTGGGTGAGGGTGACGCAGAGAGGTTCCTGCTATAGCAGTGGGCCTCCTTGAATGGGGAGGGATCTGAGTCACCAAGAAGGCTCTGCCTGAACAAAGCCATCTATTCCTCTGTCCTGCCCAGCCAAGCCTGAGAGTAGAGTCCAGAGGTGCCCAAGCTACACAAGGACAGGGCTGAGCCAGTGGCATCTCTGAGTCACAGGGAGGGTGGGCAGTGGGTGACTCATCCCAGGCCCACTTCTGCAAGGCCAGCCTGGGTGGAGGCTGGGGCCAAGAAACCCTGGGCTTGTCCTGCTAGGCGCTGGCTGCCTGCCGCCAGCTTTGGGCAGATCCTTCCTGCAGCCCTCCCTAGCACTGGCTGGCACTGTGGTCCTTTACGAATTCTGGTTACATGAAGGAATGACTGATTCCTCCCTGAATCCCGGTCCCCTTAGACCCCAGCCCCAGCCTGGTCTAGCTCCTGCTCTTACACAGAGGAGACACTTTCCAGGTGGGTCTGTAACCTCAGAAAGGGTGGATGACTAGCCCAAGATAGGGACAGAGCCAGCTGGCGTCATCGCCTCCTTCCTCACTCCCAGTCCTGCCCACCAGGCTTCTCATGGGAATCCTCTCCATGGGGATCATCAGCCCCATTTTGCAGATATGGAGACTGAGGCTCAGAGAGGGAAGGCTCCCTACCCAAGGTACACAGTGAGGTGGGCAGACCAGGATTAGATCCCAGGTCTCCCCACTCCATCCTGGGTCTCCAGGGGAGGTAGCTGGGAGGGCAAGTGAAGTACAGAGAGCCGAGGAAAGGCTGAGAAGTGGCATGACAGAGCTGAGGGCAGCCAGCCAGTCAGGGAGGCTCTGGGCTGGCTCTAGGGGTGGACTCCTGTCGCTCCCCTGAAGGCCCTGGGCCAGCTCTACAATTCCCCCTGCTCCTCCTCCCTGAGTCCACTCGATCCCCTGCCCTCTGTACCCACAGCCTGAGCACAGCCTGAGCACAGCCTGTCATCAAGAACCTTCCTCATCAGGACTCCTTTTTGGGTTTCTCTTTGAAAGAATTGCAGGTTTGGGTTTTCTCCCACAGGCCAGGGTTTAGCCATCAGAAGGCAGGAGGATGTGCAGGAAGAAGGACCCAGACAGAAGGAAAAGCATGTGAAAAGACTCTCATGAGCAGGCCTGGTATTGTAGGTACTTGAAGTTGGTGAGGCTGAAGGCCAAGCCCAAGGGGAAGAGAAGCGAGGCCACAGGGGCCAGATCCTGAGGGCCTTGTGGTCTGGGGTAGAAAGTTCTGACTTTGTTCCGCAGAGCAGTGTGGAGCCACAGAGTGTATTTTAGAAAGATCCCTGCAGAAAAAGGGGACTGTGAGGAAGAGGGAGTCGTCTCTTCCCAGGCAGAGCAGGGAAGAGGCCTCTGCCACCATCCAGAAGAAGGGCAGTGGTGGCCTGGCCGTGGAGGGACTTGAGATAACAGGGCTAAGCTGGGGCCCTGGACAGGCCGTGATGGGTAAAGAAGGATGTTCTAGTTTCTGCATGGGTGGCCCACTGCCCTCCCTATATTCCCTTGGGCATATAGCCAAGAAATGACACAGGTGTACAAGCAAAAATAGTTTATTTGAGGACGGAAGACCCAAAATCGGGGTTCCCAGGGTGAGGCCGCAGCAGCTGCCTGGAGTTGGCACAGACTACCACGGCTCCCTGGGGGAACCCAGCAGCAGAGGCCCTTCCCTGAGCCCCTAGCTGCCTCCCCCACTGGAGGAAGGATTGTGTAACCTCTAAGAATCATCATCATCATCATCTTAACACGTTTGAGGTTTTCAAAGTTTGCCCAACAATTTTCGGCATAGTTGTTGATACTAATCATAATAATTACTCTGACAAGCACAGTGACTGTGCCAGTCTTGGACCCACCATCCAGTGGTGAGTGGGGTTTGTGACAGGGGTGCAGCAGACAGAGACAAGAGGCAGGTCTCTCTGGGAGTCCCCGTTCCAGCCTCCAAGGCAGCCTTCCAGAAGGTGACTCTCCCTCCCATGGCCTGCTCTCCACTTTTCCCACGGCCATTGGCTGAGGTTAGTGTCAGGCTGGAGCTGTCCCAGGAGCTCCCACAGGTCTCAAAGACCCTTGCCAGGCTGGCCCCTCCGCCACCGCCCCTGGTGGGCAGCCCAGGAGGCCACAAACTCGCAGTTGTGATAAAGGAACATTCCTGAAAGGGTCAGTGCAATGCCTACGTAGCTGAGGGCGCTGAGGCGGCTGCCAAACAGGAGCCAGGATAGAATGAGGTTGCCCACAACAGTGAGGTTGCCCAGGACGTGGACGGTGAGGGCAGAGGTGAGGGCCAGCAGAGAGAAGCTGGCCAGGTTGTAGAGCACAGACAGGAGGCAGCTGAGTAGGACGCAGGCCCAGAGGTGGGAGTCAGCCAGTGTGGGCAGTGGGGCCATGCCAGCCTCCAGCACCAGGGCCGCGCCTGCCAGCAGGCAGAAGCTGGGCAACGAGGTGGCATACAGCAGGGTCACCGCATCCAGCTGCTCCTCCTGCAGCAGGGCACCTGTAACCAGGACAGTGGCCATCAGCACCCAGTGGGGAGACAGCCTCCACTTGGCCAACCCAGTGTGACCTGCATGGCTGATCCTCCAAGGAGCCTGCCTAGCTCCTCAGGGAGAGTTAGTAACTCTTGCTTTGAAATGGGGTGGTCAAGCATCAGAGTCAGACCATCTGGATTTGTGACCTGTGTCCACTCCTGACCAGCTGTGACCTGGGCTTGCAAGAAGCACTTAGCCTCTGTAAGCCTCAGTTTCCTATCTGGAAAGTTAGGTAATAACAAAGCCTAACACTTGGGATTGTTGTAGAGATTTTTAAAAGATAACATATATAAAGCCCTTATAAGGTAAAGTCCTCAGTGAATGTAAAAACATAAATATATATAAGCCTGTTACCGCCCACTTCAAACCACTTCCCACAAGCTGAAGCAATAATCTGCTTGGCATATCCAAACAATCAATAAACGAAAAGTGGATTTAAAAAACGTCTTCAGGGGCTCCCCAGGCCCTGGAGGAAAAAGTCCTGCAGTTCTTAACCCAGCTTTGAAGGCCCTGCACCAACTGGCCCTGACCCACCTTTCTTGGCCTCAGCCCTTTTCATACTCACGAAGACCCAACACTGCAGCTCCAACCACCACTGCAGGGATGGGCCAGCAGAGGGTCCCAGTTCTGACACTTACTACCCATATAGCCTTTACATTAAAAAAAGATGGACCTGGCCAGTTAGCTCAGTTGGTTAGAGTGTGGTGCTGATAACACCAAGGTCCAGGGTTCAATCCCCGTACCAGCCAGCTACCAGCAAAAAAATAAAAAGTTTTAAAATAATAAATTGTTTAAGTCAAAATGGTGGGTCCATTCATTGCTTCATTCACTTATGACCATTGGGATGACAAGGGAACAACAAGAAAGTCATTGTGGGCTCTTGGCTATCACTCATGTTTATAAGCATAATCAGCATATTTTGCTACCAACACTGGGGCTTGTGAGATGAATCCAGCACTAAGAGGAGACCATTCAGCTTTGCAAGGAGAGAAGAGACCCTTGCACGGTGTGAACATGTGCCTGTATATGCATGTGTGTACATGTACTACCACCCGGCCAATTCACAAAGGCAAGGGTGCCACCGTCAAAGTTAGATATGTCCCTGGTGAAATGACAGTATTTGCATGAAGGCAGCGATGGTTTGGGGCCTTCTCCAAGTTGTAGTGGAGAGAGATGAATGATCTATACAAGTCCCTGCGCCGGCTCTTCGAGCCTCTATGCATTTCCTGACACACACTTTCCAAGCAGCCACAGAGATGCTTACTCATAGGCTATGCTTAGAATAGGAAATTTTATTTCTCTTGATTTCATTCTGATGTTTTGGCTTTGTTCTCTAGGCAACAGTCTCTCCAGCTCAAGCATTTCTAGAAATGAACAGATAATCAGGATGCCTCCCAGTCACTGGCTCCAAATTTAGCACTGTTATGAGCTGCCTGTGGCCTGCATGTTAAAAGTCCCATCACAGGAAGGTGTTTGGGTTTTCAGGTGAACTTCACCTTTGGCGAATTTCACCCCTGTGAGGCATCGGGGCAGGAAGGCTCTTACCTCCCCACCCAATCCCTTGTGCCTGTTCTGCATCCCGCCCAGGCCTCTGCCTCCCCTCCCTGCAGCCCAGGCAAAGGGCAGTGATTCCATTAGAGGTGACTCAGCCCCACCTGGGGCCCCCAAAATGTCAGCCTGTTGTCCTGCCTCCTCAGCCCCCCAAACCCTCCATTTCAGCCTCTCCTTCTCCAAAAGGCATTTTTGTCTCGGCATAGGAAACGCACCCAAGCTTCTGCCCCATGCAGACAACAGCTGCCCCTCCTCTAAACCCCGTCTGCTTGCTGCTGGCTCATCCCCTCTTGGCTCCTTCACTGGCTATGTGATATTAGGCAAGTCACCCTCTCGCTATGGCTCAGTCTCCTCATGTGTAGTATGCGGAGGGTGACAACATGTGAGGTGCTGGACACAGGGCCTGAGGCCCAGTGGTAACTACTCACCACAGTTGCTGGCACGATCCCCTGCACTCTGCTTCTGCTGGCTGACACCCACACCCTGGCACAGCCTGTTTCCCATTCCCAGAACACCCTTTCCAGCTATGTCGGTATGATGAGCCGGGCACAATGTGAACATCAGTAAGTGCTCACTACCAGGATTACATTATTATTATTATCATTACTGCACGGCTCCTTTCCTAGGCAGCTTTCTTGGGTCTCCCCAGGAAGCAACTGCCCCACCACACCTGTGCCCCCCTTTGCTATAGAACTTCTCTCTTGCCACTGTGATCTCTACTTCTAAGTGCATCTCCCCAATCAGCCTGAGAATTCATAGGACAGGGATTGAGTCACCTTGCTCTGTGACACAGGTGGGTATAGCTGAGAACAAGCTCAGCAAGCTGACACCCACCCCATTTCCCAGCCCTTCTGTGGATAGGAGGGTGGCATCACCCTCCTCTCCCCATGTAGCCCCTTGGGCCTTCAACTGGGCCAGGTAGAAGAAAAGCTTCTGGCCCTGTCCATAGCTGCCTGGGTTCTCCTCTTCCTGGACTTTTGTCCTCTGCTCCCACGGAGTCTGCTCTCAGGAAAGAAGCTGGTGTCAGCCATTTACACTCTAGTTCGAATCTGGCCCTCGTGCCTGTCTTGGAGCCTTTGGCAGCAGAAACCTCCTCTTATTCAAAACCCATCTCAGCTCCTGGCTCCAGTCTGTTCCTCCCCATCCCTGCAGGGCTTCCATCTCTGTTGGCGGGGCCTCCAGCCTCCTAAGTTCCCTTCTTAGCACTCTGAGCCATGTAGCCTAACCAGCCTACCAATTCAGCTATCAGATCCATCAATAAATCCTTCACTTAAGGAATATCTGCCCTGGGCCAGGCCCTTAGCCAGGTGCTGGGGATACAGAGATGATCCTAAGTCTGTCTGGTGGGAAGAAGACAGGTAACCAAGTGGCTGTAATACAGGGCATTCAGAGCCATGATGGGGGAAGCAGAGGGCACTTGGGAGCTCAGAGCAAGCACCCAATCTGCCCAGGGGGTCAGGCAGTTGAGACCTGGGAGGAAAGGAGGAAACTGGTCAAAGCCAAGAAGCAGCCTGGTGCCAGGCACATGGCAATCGGTGCCCTAGTGCCTGAGGCGTGGCCAGCCGTAGACCCTCCTGCAGGCCAGGGCTGGCTGGGGCCCTGTGTGAGGAGCACTGGGCCTCAGCAGGTGCAGTGTGGGACTTGAGGCTGGGACCTTCAAAGCCTGTGGCCTTGCCCAGCAGGGCCCCACAGGGTCAGGTTTCCCAGAGCCAACTCATGCCGAGAGCTCATGCCCAAGCCCAGTCCCCAGCTCTCATGTAACCTAAGAGCAAAAATAGAACTGGGCTTTGGCCCAGTACCTGAGAGGATGGGGACAGAGCCTCTGGGTCCCAGCTCTGAAGATGCCAGGGCAGGACTGAGCTCTACTTCAACCTTCCGCAGCTGGAGGCTGCTCCCAACCCTAGCCCAGAGCCCTCAGACAGCCTACTTCCCTCTCCCTGACCTGAGTCACAGAATCTCAGGATTGGAAGGGAAGGAGAGCAAGAGGCCCCTTGCATTCCATCAACTGACCCTCTTCCACTGAATAGATGGGAAGACTGAGGCCCAGATAGGATCTGGACCTGCCCAAGGGCACTCAGTAAGTATAAGCAAAGGTATGGCCAGAACCCAGGCCTCCCCCATGTCTCCCTTGGGTTGAGGCAGAGAGGGTGGGGACAGTGACTCAGACACCCCTCAGTGGGACAGGCAGGAAGCCAGCCTTTGCCCTCAGGCAGAGTGATCTAGTAGGGTCTTGGTCTGGAGGCTGGGCCCTATCCTCTGTGCAGAGCCCCACTGCCCCCTTTCATCAGAGGCAGTCTGGAGTCACAGGAACCAGGCTTTGAGTCCTTGGGAGCTGTGTGACCTTGAGCAGATCATGAACCTCTCTGGGTCTCAGTCCCATCATCTATAAAATGGGGATGAAGGTGGTGGTTGCCATGATGACTCAAAGTCAACACCTGGCACTGGGCCTGTCACACTGTAGCTCCCAGTAAACATCAGCCCTTCCTAGACTTAGCCAAACCCCTTGCCTTCCAAATCCCAGCTCAAGGCCTTGCCCTCTTTTCCCCCACCCTGGTCCACAGCCTTACACCACATCACTTGGACAGCATGGAGTCCAACTGCCTGGGTTCAAATCTTGCCTCTGCTGCTTGCTGGCCACATGGCCCAGGGCAAGCCCATCTACCTCTCTATTAAGTGGGGACAATATAGCACCTGCCTAGATCACAGGCAGTATGGGGATCCAGTGAGATAAAGGGCTTGACAAAGCATGGGACACAGATCACTGGCAACTATTATTAAATGTTGGTCGGGCCTCCAGAGCCTAAGTTTGGGGCCTAGAACTCACTGAGCTGTTGGCCCTCTCTGAGCCTGTTTCTGCCTCCTCCAGAGCCATAAGCCTCAGTTTCCTTGTCTGTAAAATGGCGTAATAGCCATGTCCCCCACAAGGCCATCCAGGCCACACAACCACCCAACCTCCACCTCCTCAGCCAGTGACCCAGGCACTCACTCTGCTGCACGGACTTGAGGCCTCGGAGGCAGGTGGCTACCAGCAGGAAGCCACAGCCAGCGGGGGGTGTCCGAAGCTCACCGGCTAGGCTGCAGGCGGCCCCCAGGCAGAGTGGGCCCATGGCAGCAAACTGCAGTGGGTGGTGACGACGGCCAAGCAGCAGCACCGACAGGGCCAACGTGAACAGCGGCGTGGTGGTGGTGGCCAGCTGTGCCAGGTCCAGGGGCACTGTGGTCAGGCCCACGTTGCCGCAGGCCATTGAGGTGCCAAAGGTGAGGCTGAGCAGCAGTATTTGGCAGCGAGTGCTGCCTGGCATGGGACGCCGTGCCCCCCGGTGGCATGCCAGCGCTGCAGCCAGCATGTGCAGCGCTGAGAGCAGCAGAGGCCTCCCGAAGCCATGTACTGTGAAGATCCACTTGTTAAGGCTTGACATGCTGGCCCCAGCCAACAGCCATACCAGTGCTGCCAAGGCCACTCGGCTCCGGCTAGGCTGTCTGAGGGTCTGGGGGCCGCCAGGAGGCCACTCAGGGGTCCCAGCCACCCGAGCACCACCAGCCACTGCTGGTGCTTCAGCTGAGGTCATCCTGCCGTCATGGTGCTCCAGTGGGCAGCAGCACATCTGCACCAGTGGGGCTGGGGCAGGATGTGGGCTCCCCAGTGACCAGCTCTGGGCCACCAGAGAGCCCTGCTTTGGGACAGGCCAGATCCCAGTTCCTTGTACCTTGTGCCCCGTCTCAGACAGGTGAGAGCACCACTACTTGTGCCAGGCCCGTGCCAGCATTGGTCTGGGAGCTAAGCTGACCATGTTCCCAGTTCAGACAGGGTAGAACCCTGGGATGCCAGGATCTATGGTGCTCAAGCCTGGCCTAGTAAGCTCTGGGCAACTCTGCCCCGTGCCGGGTGAAGTCTCCACTCTCCTCCTCGCCTACGATGGGATCCTCTCCCTGTTCCTTTTCTTCTTCGGTCCCCAGGCCGTTAGGGTGGGGATCCAGACACTGGGACCTACTGCATGCTCAGGCCGTGACCAGGCCTGGCAGGGGCCATCCGGGCTCCGCGTCCGGTGGTGCCCAGGGGGTCGCGGCTCGCTGCCTCCGACTGTTCCCAAGCGGTACGGCTGACAAGCCGGCCCGAGCTCCGGCCGGGGCTAGGCAGCGCGCTCAGCTCGGCTCCAGCAGGACCTGCGCTCCAGCTCCGGCTCCCGGCGGCTCCGGCTGCGGCTGTGGCTCCAGGAGCTGCTCCCGCCCGGCTCCAACCCGGGCCATGCCCCGCCTTCCAGGCGCGGTCCCGTGCTCTCGGCTCCGCCTCCTCCACTGCCGCCACCGCCTGCGCCCCACCCGGAAAATTGAGCTGAGCCCCGGCCCCGCCCCCGTCCATGCCCCGCCCCCACGCCGCCCGCTCGCAGGCCCTCCCCCATCGTCCCTCCATTCCTTCATCAGCGCCTCGTTCGCCCTTGGCCTGCGCATCTATCTGCCCATTGGAGCCCGCCAGCGTTAGAGCTGGAGTAGTCAGCATGTCCGTCCCCGCTACTGGTGGGGATCAGGCCCCTCCCCACCCCGCGCCAAGGCTAGCCCCGCATGTAAAATAACATACAGGGCTTGAGATGCAGGGGCATCCCACCCAGCCGCCCAGGCTATCTTCAAAGAGCAGGGCATGGAGGAAGGACACGCAGCCCCATTCCAGGACCCAGTCGCAGGCCCAACTTATCTCTGGCCACAATTATCTCGTGGGACCTCGGCATCCAGCAGAGCTGGACCAGAAGATCCCTTAAGTTCCCTCCATCGCCCCTCCCTAGCCCCAGCATCCTTCCCTGCCTCCCAGCGCAGGGCAGCGCCCTCGCTGAGCCCGCGGAGGGAAGCTGAATCACCAGGGCTACCCAAGCTACGGAAGCAAGGTACCTCTGGCTGCCATCCATTCCCAGCCAGCAGCCCCTGCCTTGTTCTCTGGGCACTTGGAGCTGACTCATAGCTGGACCTCCCGGAGTCCACCCCCTGTCCCCATCCCTGGCAGGACAGAGTCCTGGGCTGGGAGGCAGGCAGAGCAGCTGCCACTGAGCCCTCGTCCTGTCTGGATCTCAGTTTCTTCTTCCAAAGACATGCTCTCTGAGCTCAGGGTCGGGTAAATAGCACACGCTAGAGCAGGACAGTTGACCCAGATTCCAGGCCGGGCCCTGCCCTCCCTGAGCTCTGGAGTCCAGGTGCGAAGAACCAAGGCCCCGCCAGGTGCCCAGTGCAGGCTGGGAGCCTCTTTCTTGTCACTGGGCTTCTTTCCCAGGGGAAGCTCCTGCCCAGCAGGACACAACTCCCCCCTGGCCTGTTGTCTGACCAGCAACCTGTCTGGAGAAATAAGACCTCAAAGGAGGACTGCTTAGCCCGGCCCATGGCGCCCTTTCATGGTCAGGCCATGGAATGGCTGCAAGTGTTCCCCCCAACCCCCACCAGAATCACTGAACTCTGGTGAAAAACTTACAACCTCAGAGGAGACCTGCTGAATCAGATGCTTTCCGTGGGGGGTGGGACCAGGAATCTACACTGTCACATTTGCCTCTGGTGACTCTGACGCCTGCCTGCTGGAGACTGCAAATCACTGCTTAACAGCCCAGATTACAGAGCAGGAGGTGCAGATGGGGGGATTTCCAGGCTGAGGACCAAAATAAGAAGGTATTTAGTCAGGGTTTCTCTGGGAGGGGACACAGGAAGGAAACAGCCAGCCAAGGGAGCAGCCCCTTCCCTCCATTTCCTGAGGAGGAGGAATCTGGGCCCTTTAAGGGTTATATTCTTTTCTGAGATTTTGTCAGTTTTCTGGTAAGTTTCCTTTAATAAGGAACAATAATAATTTAAAAAAACAATAAAAAACACCCTGACCTTTTCAGAGCTGAGCTGGCAGGGAGTGATGGGTGGTGCAAGTCTGTCTACACCTCCTCCAAGACCACCACTAAGAGGCCTACTTGGTGAGGAATGAGGATTAACCAAGATGAAGCCTGGGCAGGGTTTTGTGAATGGAGAAGAGTGTATATGCCAGAGTGGGGCTAGGGGAGGCTGAGGGCAGAGCCCAAAGCAGGTGACCCAGCAGTGGCCATCCCAGATGGGAGCCCAGAAGGGCCAGGGCACAGGAAGAACTAACACCACCGGCCGCCAGGGAGGGAGGGCTTCATCCACCCACTCCTCACTGTTAACCCTGGAGGCAGATGCTGGGATGACCCACTCACAGACAGTGGGGAAGGAAGCAAGGTACTCGGGGGACAGCTTGAGTGGTGGTGGGAGATTCAAACCAGGTCTGTGTGGCTCTACAGCCCCAGCTTTTAACTCGCAGGCAGCAGGGCTCCCACCAGGATACTCCCTTGTTGCAGAATGGGAGACTGGGGTGCCCAGCTTCACGGAGGGCAGCAAGGGGCTCCTTCACATTCCTTGCGGTCCACCCAAAAGCCCAGAGCAGCCTGCCCTTGCCCACAGGCTCCCCAAATCCCTCAAATCTGAGTTCTACCCTTTGGGGGACCAGGCTGCTATGGGAAGCAGGTGATGCAGAGAGGAACCCTAGGGGACTCCACAAGGGAGATGTATCCATTTCTAGCAACCAGGCTGCACAGGCTGTAGGACAGGCCTCTTTTCTCGTGGCTGCACATCCCTAGACGAATCACCACACTACTCAGTTTCCCCATGTATGATCTATGATGAGATCACAGGCATAAACATGCTGTGTAAACTAAGGTCCCATCCCACAGCTGGGAACTAGGAAACAGGCTTAGAGAATGGAAGTGGCTCATCTGGAGCCATAGAGATCTAAATGTAGGCTAGACACGAACCTGCTCCCTGGTCCTAGAGGGAGGGCCTCTGTTTATTAGACTCTTACAGTGAGACCCTGCACAGAACATTACTGGTCCTTTCACCCCCAGCTTCTCAGGGTTCCTGCTGATTGTGCCAGGTTAGACACCTGACCCCAGTATTCCCATAATCCAGTGACTTTGGGACATGGCTGAGAAAGTAAAAGGGGGCTGGGGGCTTGAACTGGAAGGTGGCAGAGTCCCTGCTGGGGCTGCACCAAGAGGAAGTTCCACCATGAGGTGGAAGAGGCAGAGGCCTGAGGGTAGTGGAGATGAGGGAACCCTGAGACCCAATTTTTTCTTTTTTTTTAAAGCTGACCAGTAAGGGGATCTAAACCCTTGACTTGGTGTCATCAGCACCACACTCTCCCAAGTGAGCGAACCAGCCATCCCTATAAAGGGATCCGAACCCGTGGCCTTGGTGTCATCAGCACCACACTCTCCCAAGCGAGCCATGGGCCGGCCCTCTGAGCCCCAATTTTAATTTTGCTATCACTCCTGGTTGCCCCCACATTGGTAGGCTGGGTCTTTTCAGCCAATATCCTTTGATTTGAGCAGGATTCAGTAACTTCCTGCCCCTCAGAGCCAGAGACACCTCAACTAAGGCATTCCCTCCTGGAGAGAGAATCAAACCCAGCTCACAGACCCTTCACAGCACAGTGCAAGGGAGCTTCCCGCCCACCTCTGAGTCTCCATCCCTCTGCAACAGGGTTGTTAAGGGAAAGTCACAGGGCAGGTCCCCAATCCTCCCCAAAGTCCCCTTGCCATGATGAAGGAAGGGCATGTAAACAAGATTCTGGAGTTCTGGGTGCAGACATTTCACCTTCAAAATGGGGGCCAATGCTGCATTTGGCTACCTGATGCTCCCATGTGTGTTTCAGCAAAAATACAACGTTGTAAATTTCCTGCTTCCCCTACCTTCCCAGACCCTAAATATCTGAAGCTGGTGCTCTAGGGAGAGGCACATGTTTAATCTTCGGTTTCGATGAGTACAAGTGTATTACTGTGTCTTCCCAGGTACATGGACCCAGCCCTAGCATGCTGTCCATCAGAGAGCCCCTCTGAGGGTACCTCTTCCTAACCTTGGTGGGGTGGGGTATGGCAGTGCCTTCTTGGGCTGAACCCACCTTCCAGAGGGCAGCCCAGAGCCCTTCCCCCCACTGAGAGGCAGAGTCCCCACATCTTGTCTGCCGAGGCCCAGGATGGTGCCCTGACTGTGCCTTGGTGAAAAGTAGGGAGTGAGACCCTGGCTCTCAGGTCCTGGGCCTCCAGTAGAATTGGGGCTCTGCCATGTAATCATACCAATCATTGAAGCCCCCAATTTTCAGTGTTTGAGTGGAGGAGCCAGGAGGCCACCCCAGGCCAGGTCTGTCTACCTCCTAAGCCGACACTGCCTCCTACAGGGTTCAGACTGAATCTGTGACCTTGGGTGAGTCACTTTCCCTTTTGGAGCACTAGTTTCCTTATCTGTAAAGCAGAGGTGAGAATGAAACTCTCAACAGCCTCACAGAGTGGTGCAAGACAGTGTCCAGCAAGTAAGTGCCCAGATAACAGGAGTCAATGCCACCACTGCTGGCATCACTCCCCCCAATATCCAAGAGAAGCCTCCCGCACCCTCCTCTCCTCCCCCGCGGGCATCTTTCCCTTCTCTGCTCCCTGCCCCTGTCAGCAAGTAAGTGCCCAGATAACAGGAGTCAATGCCACCACTGCTGGCATCACTCCCCCCAATATCCAAGAGAACCCTCCCGCACCCTCCTCTCCTCCCCCGCGGGCATCTTTCCCTTCTCTGCTCCCTGCCCCTGTGCTTGCAGAACATGAGGCACCAGGATGCTGCAGCATGAGCCAACCAATGCTTTAATTATATCAGAGGTGGGCACTGAGCAGCCTGCTGAGGCCTTGCCAACTACTGTGCCACGACCAACTCTGGGGCTGCCACCCTGACACCAAGTGGAGAGCTGAGGTCAAGGCCACAGCCCTTGGGCCATGGAGGCTTCCTTGTAGGGCCCCAAACACAGTGTGGTGGTACTCACAACACCAGCA